ATTTTTCAATAAGTCACTCATGTATAGCTCTATTTATTTTCCTTAGAAGCCACTTTGAAGATACCAAAGTATAGTACAACAACTCTTGATAATCTCCTACCTCTTTTGTCTGTAACTCACTATTATTTGTCTATTTGTTTTCCTGAGAAACTATTTTGTAGACAATAATATGTAAAATGATAACCATTGATAATATCCTACCATTTTGTCTGTAATTTGCTAAGTCCCCCCTATTATTATGTTATCCTTCTTTTATTAAAAAAAAAAAAAAAAAAAAAAAAAAAAAAAAAAAAAAAAAAAAAAAAAAAATAAATGAAATATCTTGGGTCCCGCCCAGACCTACAGATCAGAATCCTGCATTTTCCACATGATTATATACACTAAAGTCTGAGAAACTGCTCTCTGTGCTTTCAACTACTTACCACACTACTGCTGATTTCCAGCAGGAGGGGCAAGTGAGACAGAGAAGGGAGACAGACACCTCACCAAAAAAGAGAACTGCACAGATCTGATGAGAAGATGCCATTTATCAAACTTGAATATCAGCACGTTGTTAATCCATACCAAAGGTAAAAGCAGAGTTACGGTCATACTGCAAATATTACACATTTCAGAGACAATACTTTGAGGACCTCTGCCTTAAGCCACAGCTTTCTGTAGAGGAAAAGCTTTTCTGCTTTGATTCCCTGAGTCCATGTCCCCTGCCTCTGCCTATCTATCCTCTGTACTGTTTATGTGTTCTCACGTGGGAGCTTTCCTTTGTTGGATTCCCACCACACCCTTCCAACTTCTTTACTACAGCCCTTCATTTCTAGTATTGTACAGAATAACCCCTTTTATGGAGTGTGATTTCTTGGCAAGAACCATGCTTATGCATTTGAATGAATTCATTTATTCATTATTTTATTCTAACATATACAGGCTGGATTTTATTAAGATATGACAAATACAATCTCAGTCCCTGAGGAGCGTACATATTCATACGGTAAAATGTCAAACAAGTTGTCTTAGCTTTCCTGTCACTTTGACACAGTACCTGACAGCCGCAACTTCAAGTTGAATTTATATCACTAAATTCAGTCAATGGTCTGCTGGCTCCAAAGCAGGAAAATTATGGCAAAAGGGTATGGCAGACAAAACTCCTCAGTTCAATGGCAGCTGGAAAGCAGAGGAGGGGAACAGTGCTAGACAGGCAAGGGCCAGGGACCACAGGGGCATGCCTCCATTATGCACCAAATCACACCCAGAAGTGTGCTTTGCTAATCCCTACCCAAGCCAATCAGGCTGACACAAGCGCCCTTCTGCACCACACAAGCCATTATAACAGCACATAAATGCTGTAACAGGAAAGCAGAGCTGGGGAGTTTACATGGAGCCAACTTGGAAGTTTTCTAAGTCCTCAGCTCAAGAACACATAGTTCACCTAGCAAAGGGGGGAAAGTATGCAAGTGTTGCAGAAAGAGGGAACATCTGCACCATCAAAGAGTACTTTTGGGCATAAAAAATACAGGAGTCAGTGTGTATTGGATAAAATTTGGAATTTTGTGTTTTCTGGAGCATTCAGTCATTTGGTAAAATACTTGGTTAAAAACAGTGAAATAAATTAACATACAGTATTTTAAATATTTTAACATCATTTAGATTTCTAACGCTGAAATAAGCAATCTTTGGGAGCAAATATGAACTGTAAAGTCTATGTATTTCCAGGTAAAAATGAACACCTTTCCATCTCCTCCCCAAGACTACCAAGATAAAGATACTATGCAAACTTGCAATGTTTAGATCCATAGGACAGAGCAAAGAAGGGGAGGAGACACCAAAGGAAGAAGGGACAGAAGAAGGAAAGAACGCTGAGCCTTCTCAATAGCAAACGATACGAAAAAATATGTAAGGGGACAATGACTACTAACGTTTTTAAGGGGAAATGATCTCAATATTAAATTTATTCCAGCTGAACGTGGAACAAGTATAACTGAATATTTTCACACAAAACTTTTTGCCCTCCCTGAACCTTTTCCAGCAAGCTACTGTAGGACATGCCACAGTAGAGGAAGTAAATCAGACACAGGAGAACACAAGACCCAGTGAGAGAGCTCAGCATCATGCTAACATCTCGGCCAGCTGACAGCACCACCAAACCTAAGTACCAGAGGGCAGAGGGCAGGAAGAACATCTCCAGACAGCAACAGATGATTCATAAAGAAGGATTATTGTCTGTTATGATAAATATAAGTTAGGACAAGATTTTCACAAAGGAAATCAGATTGTATAGGAAAAAGAAGAAATATTGTTCTCTACTCAGGTCTACAGTGAACAATACATAACAATATTACATATTCCTCAGGAAGTAAACTGATGGTTGAAACAATTTACTGCATTCTATTGAGTGCAGAAATACTCTATAGCTAGGCAGGCGGTTACCCATATTCACTTCTTCACATGGGGCTAGAATCAAAACCCATCTGTACACATTCAAATTCTCACAAGAGTGCCACAGCTTCTGGAAGGTCTTGTCTGGGAAGTGCTGGCAATAAGCCCCAGATTCATTTGTCCGTGCAGAAATAAGCCACTCCGACCCCAAGAAATCTCACAAGGCAAGTTTGTTTTTGCAGAAGGGTGCCACTATACCCTAAAGCTAGTTAGGAAGCACACAGAGAGGTAGCAACTGGCTCCTTTTATACCCTAACAGTGGGAAGCAGCTGACCTTTCCCCTCATTGGCTTGGTTGAAGGTTCACAATCTATCCTGATCTAGGTGGTGTGAGGAGAGGGTTTGAAGGTTGTTCATTAGTTTTGTTGGGGGGGGGGTGGCACAGGGAACTGGATGTCCTGGACTGTACCCTCAGCCAAGCAAACATTTTTTGTAACTGTAACAACTGCGGACCTGATGTAAGGGGCAGGAGACGACAGCCTAGGGTGGAAGTGCTCCTATTTACACCCTTTGATAGAAAAGACAGGACAGGGCCAGTTTCTCATAGAGGAATTTCTTCTCTCGTGCAACCCTAATTGAAAAAAAGATGTAAAGGAGGCTTTTGTAGTGTAGTAATGTTCTACTTCTTGATTGGGGGTAGTTATTAATGTGTACATTTTCTTAAAAATTCATTGTTTATGGTCTTTTCTGTATACTACACTGTAATAAAGTGTTTACAAAGTTATAAAAATGACTCAACTCTATGGGAAGAATGCACCAAGAATACAAGTAGCAAGGAATGTCTACAATTGCTCTCAAGAGGCATAGTGATATTAGAGGAATATTATTTCAAAAATAAGAATTATCTTAGTTAACAATAGAAATGGTTCTCTTTAGGGGGGGGAATGAACTGTTCTTTCAGTTTTTTGTTGTTACTAGATTCCTTTAAAAGCAACATATACATAACATGTTCATTTAAAAAGTCAGAAAACAATCTTTTGCAAAGGAAAACTTACTGATGCAGGTTTTTAAAAAGTAAACAACTTCCTACAATTAAAATGTTAAAGTCCATCTGACAGGAGAAAATTCACTCTGCTTTTAGGCACCAATTATGGTTCAAGCGAAGTTTAAAAGTTAAAAAATTATGAGGAAATAACAGTGGCTGTATCACCAGTTGTAAGGCAACTATTAATCATTAGGAGAGAGGAAAAGCAGCAAACCCTAGACAGTTTATTCTAGCCAGGCACAGCAAAGCGCCATAGTTGTTTGCATACGCTAATGGTTTGGATCTAAAATGTCTCCCCCAAGTCTCATGCTCAGAGGCTGGGATTCTGGAAGGTAACGGGATCATGGGGGTGCTATGTTCATCAGTGGATTAGTCCGTGGATAAATTCATGGCTGTGCAGTCCAGGAATGGGGCCTGTTTGGAAGAGGCGGATCAAGGACAGTGACTTGGAAGGCTGTATTCTTGTCCCCAGTTCCTCCCTTCCTCTCTGGTTCATGGCCCCCACGACCTGATCAGTTCTCCTCTGCCAGGCGCTCCCACCACGCTGTTTCTACTGTAGCCAATGACACATGGACTGAATCCACGGAAACCCTATGCCACAAAACACCTCTCCTCCTTTAAACTGAGTATGTTGGGCACTCTGCCCTAGCAACAGGAAAGCTAATACACGTAACTATTTTTTCATATAGAAAGTAGAAACTTAGGATACAGATACATTTCGGTTTGTAGAGTGCTGGCCACAGATTAAATTTCTTATTCTTTAAATAATTCTCAGATTTTCCAGTGTAGTTTGTGGAAGTGTAAAGAAAGATGTGCCACAGTCATATTCTGGAAATACTGGATTTACTGTAGGGCTTCACAGAACCTCCTTAGGTTCGAAGGCACTGTGATTCTCCAGAAGGATCTTCCTCTTCTCTTCAAATAGCAAGGTACCTTAATAGCAGTTAAATTAAAACACACACTTTTTTTTTTTGAAGACAAGAATCCATTAAAGAAGAAATTAGGGGGCTGGGGATTTAGCTCAGTGGCAAAAGCGCCTGCCTGGCAAGCGCAAGGTCGTGAGTTCGGTTCCCGGTACCGGAGAAAAACCAAAAAAAAAAAAAAAAAAAAAAAAAGAAGAAATTAGGAAGCAGCTAAGAGAATGCTGCATTAGCTGGTTTAAGTAACCTGGAAATCTGAAAATAGACAACTTCTCCATTCCTTGAAACCTTTCCCATGACTAATAAAACCTTATGAAGTCTTCTGGTTATCTGGTGAGCACTGTGAGGTTCACCGAAGATTTTACTGGGCTTTCCCTTTTTTTTGAGTTAGGGTCCTGCCATGCAGCCCAGGCTGGCCTTGAACTCACAGCACTCCTCCTGCCTCAGTCTCCCAAGTGCTGGTGGGCGTCATCACACCCAACCCAGGCTGTTCTAAAAGAGAAATGCAGTCACTTAAAAGCCACATTTGATAAAGCCTTTTTAGAGACACTGGGTGGTAAACTTGTTTCTGAATGTGAATTTTTGTATTTTTCCCATCAAGATTATATGAACTATGTATAAATTACTCATTATTTAGATACCAGAATAAAAAAAAACACGCCAAGGTTACACAGGGTATCTAATTTTCTTTAATCTGAACAGAAAATAAGTATACAAGTTCGCTAGAGAGAAGTGATAAAAATTGAATGCTATATATTATAGAATCAGTACAATGAGTTTCTTTCGGTAGCCAGTGATTCTTAGTCAGTTCTGCAAAAAACAAAATCAGTTATGCAGAAACAATATAAAATGCCCCTTTCTGGACTCCAGCTTAATAAAACTGATTTTATATCTAATTTATTGATTATACTCAGATTCAGTTCTTGTGCAAAAAAATATGCAATCATTAATGGTGGTTTGGTAAGCTGAAATTGATTTCTTTTAAGTCAGTTCAACATTATGATAACCCAAATATAAAAAAAGGTATTCAAGATTCAGAGATAAACCAGTGCCTAGGCAACATAATTCACCCATGTGCCCAATAATTTTTAACATTTTTAAAAACACATAATCACAAAGACAGTGATGACATCACATACTCAGTGCAATGCTTCATGTAGTGCATTCCTATGGCTTGTCTGGAGTTTAAAACCATATTACCAAACATTTCTAATGGATGAGCTTCTGACACACATAAATCTGTCCAATTCTTTTACAAAATCTAAAACTCTCGTAAGACCTTGAGCTTGACTGTGTTTTACAATCCCAAATATGGGGAAGATTAGGTGTGACATGAAGTAATCACCCCTTCTAAGCAAGACTGCACATATACTTTCATTATATCACCACAAAGAATCCTCAATTCAATCCTGTTGACGGAAAAGAGCACATGTATTGTTCAGCTAAGAAAATCCAAATGACTTTCCTGGAGTCAAATGCACCCCAAGGCATACATAAGGAATGAGTATAACTGCAGCAGCTACAGAAATATGCCACTGCATAATAAATGCTATTAAGCAAAGATGTTAGAGTCTAATAATAGATTATGATTTGTTTGGTTCCCACTACCATGGGACACAAGAAAATGAAACTGAAGACTGTTGTGTTAGGACAAGTGATGACCCCAGTTTTAAACAGGGTTCTTCATTGAAGGAGAAGATAGAGCCACAGAAGTCAAATTAGCTGACTTCAAATGGTTTACATCCCAGGATGAATCAGGTTACACTGATTTAAGCCCAATTTAATTTAGGCAGGTTTTTTAACCACAAGAATAAGGACATTCTTAGTACATATTAATAATTAAACCAACATATACACAATCAGCAATATCCTACATAATATTAAATGTTTTAACATGTTCTCAATTATTCTTTATGTTGTTAATTTTTTTTTTTTTTTAAAAAGTTCAATTTTATTTTACAATGTACTTTGTATTTCTAAGTGTATTCTGCTATTATTTTATTTCATTGAAGCAGGTACAGTTCTCTGGATTTCTCTAAGAGCCAAACTCAACTGTATCTTCTGTGATCTGTTTGAATTCGTAATTGCCTCTGCCATCCATATGCAGGTAGTACTATGGGAAAGAAGGGAGAAAAAAAAAAATCACTAAGAATTATCTTAGTATTTTCCTTTACAAGAATGATATTAGGCCTTCTCGTTCTTTTTAGGGAACCAAATCCATATGCACCCCACCAATTAGAATGCTTCTGTTAATCGTAGGACCAACAATCTGAGCTACAAGTAGGTGGACGTGAGCTAAGTCCTAGACAGTTCAATAGGCCAGACTTCATTCTTTTTAAACCAATTTCCTAACTCAGCTTAGACACTCTAATTCAAGGGTTTTTTTTTTTATTATAGAGAAGAAAAACAGCTATGGTATATAATGTGCTTGTATTAACCTATTCTGAAGACAATTAGGATAGCAGTCACAAAGCCTAGTTTTTATGTGAAAGACTTTTTCCATTTTCTTTATTACTATTTCTTAGCTATTCTGGCTGTTAACCTTCCAGCTCTTTGTGCCCCTTACATCATTAGCTTGGTGGTTATTTTGTTGTGTGTTTATACCTTTAAAAGAGTGAAGGTGAAACCTAAGGCCTTTCACTGTCCTATAACTGTAATGTTTATGAATGTCCAAGAACATACAAAGACTTGGACATTTTAAACTTCTCTGATTTTTAATTATTCAATTTCTCATTCAATTCATGAATAATGAACAAATGATAATATGCCATAAAGTAATGAAAGCTATGTTTAAAAGTCACATGGTTTTATGAAGTATTTTATGCAGACTTCCTCTGATCCTCATGACAATCCAGGAGATATGAGAGCAAGGATCAGTAACTTTATTATAAAAGAAGCCTACCACTTGTATACGATCATCTAAATCATATGGCTCCTGAGGATAGACAGTAATCTGCATCCCTCATGACACTCAACTCCAGTACCCATCCTCCCAAAACAGACACTTAATCTGGCATGTACTCTATAGGACAAGATACCTTTGCTATTGTTCTAACTCTTCAAACCTTCTCTTTTACCTAAAATTTCTATATTATTTAGAAAGGAAGCCAAGGAAAGAAGGAAGACACAAAGGAAGGAAGGAAGAAGGGAGGGAAGTAGAACGAAGGGGAGGGGAGGGGAAGAGAGAAGTAAAATGAATTAAACTGAATTTACTTTCCGATTCTGAGCATTTTACATGAGGAAGGGAAAATAGTTGCCATACTGAGAATGGCACTGCTTGAGCTCCAGAAGAAATAACACTTCTGCATTAATGCTAACCTTGCTATATAATGTCTTTGTACTTATAGTGGTTACCTAACGAGCCCTACCTTATTACAGTGCTATGGCAAACAGTTATTCAATTTTCCCCTTGCTGTCCTGACCTCTACAAAAACACCTCTAAACTTTGCCATTCTTCGCAGGACTTTATTCCTTCTGTCAGTACAGATAAAGAAAAGTTTAACTTTAGTTATACTTGTGACAATATCAGGAAAATCTTATCAATTATACAATTGTCATTTATAAATTATAGAACCACTAACTGGTTCCCTAAGATCTCTAATGTCTAACTACACATTGCTTATATAAGTTGTAGCAATGAAAACTGACAACTACAGTAATGTTTAAAATAGTTCTACTGAATTTTATAAAACTGAAGTAATTTCACCTTTTGTCCTAAGATATATGTTTGTAAGATACTATTTACCATGAAATCTAAATCATATTCACTTGAATTCATACATTTAATACAACGAACTTTTACTAGACCATACACATAGGAAAAACAAACCTCGTGGTGTTTCCAAAGAGATTTTCTATGTGACACAGTGAAGAGGGTGATGCCAACCTAATGCAAAGCAAATAGTTCAGGTTTATATCAATAATGAGTCAAAATTAAATTTGCACATCTATCTTAAGCTGCTATAATAGCTGTCTTCAGGGTCTATCGTCAGAGAGAAATATGACAACTGTGACAAATGTTTATGGTAATGGAAAGTATGGGCCACTGACCACATAATAAAACTAACAGGTACTGGTATTGAGTGTATTATTTTGGAGGGGACAGAAAATATTTCCCATTTATGGTAAAAAGTGCATGAAAACATAATTCAAGTTCAATAAAAATAACAAAAGGTCATAATCAGGAAAAATTAAGTCACTATAGTACTGTCTATGGTCAACTTGCTTCTCAAATATGGGGTCATAATGTCCTATTGCAAAGTCTTGTTTTCGGGCTGGGGATTTAGCTCAGCGGCAAAAGCGCCTGCCTGACAAGCGCAAGGTCGTGAGTTCGGTTCCCGGTACCGGAGAAAAACCAAAAAAAAAAAAAAAAACAAAGTCTTGTTTTCAAGGGTGTTTGGAATTTAGATTTTGGAAAGTAGTATTTAACATCCAAAGGTTCAGGGGCAAAATTCTGAAAATAAACCATGAGTGTTTCTGTGGCAATATATATGGATCCTGACATTAAGTGAGACATACACAGGGTTTCGGTATCTTTTGTTAGGTCAGGTCTTATTACCCAATGACATTGTTACAAAATTATGGAAAATCTTTCGGTTTTAGGGGCTTGCTAAATTTCAGATTATAAATAATGATTTCATACACTATGCAACATATACATACATGACCTTTTACATTTACCATAAACTCCCAAAAGTATAGAATATTACAACACTCCTGTACCTGACTTACAAACTATAAAACAGGATATTTCTTGTTCTCAAAATTCAACAAGAGTATATACAGACTATAACAATTTCTTAACTTAAAAAAAAAGCAACTGAGACTAGTGAACACTTAAAGAATGTCAGTGGAGACAGCAGCACAAGTTAATGTGTAATTTTTTGATCAATCTTGCATGCCCATGTCTGGTTACAGAAGTTTGATAAAATATTGCCCAGGCCAAAGAATGTAATGGGTAAATTTAAAATGCAAAATGATTACTATTGAATTTTCCTGATTAAAAAGACAAAAAAATAGATGGTTAGCTTATGGGGAAAAAAATCAGTTTATTACCTAATTAAATGAGAAAAAAATTTAAACATTTGTTTCATATCTATGAAATGGCTAAAGAGGATTAGGTACAGAATGCATTTATAATATATTTTATTCCTATCTATTAACTGCCAGCTTAAAATCTTTATTAAAACAAGAAGTCACCTTCTGGTAGTAATTTTGTAACTTAATAACTTGGAATCTTCTCTTCAGATAGATATTTGTTTGAACACAGGGTAAATGGCAAGAGTGACATACACCGTCTAATTGAGAACCTGCCATTCTTACCTTTCGACAATGGCTGTAAATGTAGCCTTCCACATCCACACTGACTGCACTTGTGCATTCATCCAAAATGGCAAACTGAGGTTTATGATAAAATAATCTCGCCATCTGAAGCATAAAAATAAATACTTTATGTAAATACAAACAGACCTAAAATAAATAAGATAAACTGACTATATTCAAATACATATTTTACAGTCTTATAAAACTAAACTACAAAAATTATTCTAATGAAAAAAACCTACTCCCCAGAAATAGAAATAATATAAATGAACCTGTTTTTATCGTTATCCCAAACAAAGGAGAAAATACAGTATGTGGGAAAATATTGATGGCTCAGATTTAAACAAACCTGATGTGAGATGAAGTTGAGTTTTAAAATAGTGTTAAACTTCACTAAGCAAACAAGATTAGAGGATATACATTTTAATCAAATCTTAGAATTCAGATGATGGCTACAAGTCTTTATTTCTAAATATTTTGTTGCTTAAGTAATGTTATCACTTATATTTACATTAATAATTTTTTAGTGCAGGTATATCTCTCTTATTAATATTGGGCATGTTCATTTTATAAAGCCTTTGTCAATTTTATAAATAAAACTTAACATCAGGATTTTTAGAGCTTACCTTTCTTTGATTATCAGGAATGTTGAATATTTTCACATATTTACTTTTCATATATATTTTATTTTCTGGAAACCAAACACACTGATTCTTCATATTCCAATTTGCCATCTTCCCCCAAAAATCTCCAAGTTGCAAAACAGACAGGCTCCTATCCCTCCCTAATTTTTCTTCTCTGCAACATTCTCTGTAGAGAACCACTCCTTCCTTCTTCAGAAGGTGACAGCGAAACTGCTGAGACCTTGTACTTCACAGGCTGCTTTCTCTGTTTCTTTTCCAGCACTTTCTCTTCTATTTGACCATTAAATGTGGGGGTCCCTCAGAGCTATTCCCCTTCTCTTTTTCCTGTGCTTTATGACTGATGGATGATCTCATCCAATCTTGTGATTTCAAATATTATTTACATTCTAAAAGTTCCTAATATATATCTCTCATCCATACTTTTCTCATTTTCTAGGTTAATATATATGCAAATTCCCATTAAACTTTTCTACTTGGATATCTCATAGGACTCTCAGGCTCTACATGTTTAAAGCTCAAGAGGCATTTTCCTTCCCTTCTCTTCCTCTTACTTACTGCCTCCCCCCACTTTTAGTCCACTCAAGCAAGCAAAGGTTTGAAATTTACTCACTATTCCTCATGTCCACAACCATGCCCTTAGCCCGGAGCACAATCACCTCCTGCCTGGATGACCACAAATTTTAGTCTCCTACATAATCTTTGCTCCTTTCCAATCTATTCACCATGGAAGCAGAGAGAATTGTCAAATCAGAGAACTTTACTCTGGCTTACAATTCTTTAAGAACTACTGTACATGTCATTCTTCTCGTATGTCCCAAATGCCTGACTTTGGTCCTTACATATTTTCAATTTCTGCTTAATGTCATCTGCTCAGACAAGCATACCCTGATCCACACATTCCAAGCTGCATGGGTCCCTTATGTAACTGTAGTACTGCCTATATGGTGAATTGTATGTCTGTATTTTTCTGTTCACAAGGCTGTAAGACTCACAAAAGTAGAGACCATGATTTCACCTCTACTTACATATGGGTAACATTCAAATATTTGATAAGTGAATGACTAAACAGCTTCCTTGGGGTTCAAATGTATTTGTCTGAGGAAAGGGAGGGGAAGCAGCAAATATATACCATCAAATTAAACTCTGCAGGAAACAAAACATACAGGTCACAGAAGACCTTGGTTAAAGGAGAGTTTGCTTTTTACATCAAGCCACCTGAAACTCTCTTTCTGAAGGAGGAAGGACTAGAAAAATTAAATTTAGATGGAGGCTAAAAGAGGGTACAAAACTGAAGCGAAGGGGTGTGATGAAGTCTAAGGAGAAAGAATTCATGAAGACCGACAGAGGAGCCCTTCCCAAGAAGGACGACACGTCCTCCACGGCCAGTGGAAGCACAGTGGGAAGGACAGACCAATGCAAAGTCCATTTGAAGGCATGGTGATGCTCTGTTCTGCGCTCCCATTGTACTCTCTGCATATCTCATCACCACACTCACGTGGAAATGCTCTCAGCATGTCTCTCTCTTTTATTATGTTGTCAGCTATTTGCATAGCTATTACAAGAAAGCTGTACAGGGAATAAGTATATGAACACTAGAATCATACTGCTGCCTACACTTGGTAAGCTGACATCCTTCACCCTTAGCAGGCTTCTTAACTGTTCAATTTCCTCTGTAAAATGAGCATTCATAGTTCTTATCTCACAAGAATACAATGAGGATTAAACACGATAACCTGTGGAATATTCTCGGCAAATTGCCTATCTATTAAGCACTCAAAAAATAGCCATTATATAACTGAAATAATAGCTTCTCTTTCTTTCTTTAAATACGAAATGAGTTATTCTGCTCCGAGTGGTATAGTAAGCAATGGGGTAGCAGTTGGTAGTTTTAAATGAGATCAAAGTAAAAGTAAGTAAGATGACTTAAGTAAGCCAAGCTAAGCCCTGTGCCCCTCCATATCTGGAAACCACGAGTGTGTGGTGGCACCATTCTCTTCAGCTGTGCTCGGAAGCCTCAGAAGAAAAATGCCAAGGCAAACAAACACTCTTCAGTTAGGGTTTAGGTAACGTGAAGAAATAAAAGTAAACAGAAAAAGGGGCACAACCCATCTGTCACCCCTTCAGAACATCTCTGGACTATCTCCTATATGCCAGGCAAAGGACTGTGCCTTTGTCTTGGACTGGAAGGGAGGCACAGTTTGAAGGGGACAAGGAAAAGGAAATATTCTGGAAAGCTCAGTAACAGTAAAGAAGGGAAAACAGTTAACATTTGATGGTAAAACAAAAAATAATTATAGGAAAAATTTAAAGCACTAAAATTTTTAAATAGTGGTATCTCTGGTGTGAGGGTTTACAGTCCTGTACATTTCTGTAGAAATGCCAACTTTCTATCATACATCCTTTCATGATTCAAAATATGAAAACCCACCACTAAACAGGAAGAGCAGGAATAAAGGAGAGGAAAAGATGACTTTTGGTATGCCATGTAAGATATCCCAACTTACAGCTGAAGAACCATGGCTGATGGAGGTGTGGCCCAAACAGATACAAGGCATAAGGAAAATTTCACTTGAGACATCAAGAGACAATGAGAGAGTAGAACAGGTCAGACCATCCACTCAGACACTCAAGGCTCCATAATGTACTGGGTAAAGCAGAGCTCTCAGGTCAGACCCACCTGCACTTGAATCTCACTCCTCCCTTTCAGCTGTGTGGCTTTAGGAACCTGCTTAGGCGCTTTAAGATTTTACCCTTATCTGTACCTGACCTCCCAAGATCTTGCTCTCATTGTTATCCCAGTGTACTTGCTTTGTAGCTACTTATAGCTTTTTCTTTTGTCTTTTTGAGACAGGGTCTCCCTATGCAGTTCAGGCTGGTCTTGAACTCGCTTTGTAGTCCAGGCTGGCCTCTAACTCGCAATGATCCTCCTGCTTCAGCCTCCCAAGTGCTGGGATTACAGGCGTGAGCCACCACAAGTGGCTGTACCTTTTTTTCTTTAGTCTATATACTACTGTTAGTTGAGAATATCTGAACTCCTAATTAGATTGTAAGGGTAGGACTGAGCACAGTGCCTTGCACAGAGCTGATTCTCAGCTAATACTGCGGAAAGTAAACGTTTAATAAAGCTGTTTTTCACTGTTGACATTAATCATAATTAATAACCTTATTTCCCTACATTTCTGCTGACACTGTTGACTGGGTCTTCCTACATTCCACAGCTACTCATTCCCTTTCATGTCCCCAATTCAAATCTTGACTTTTCTTACCCAAAAGCTCCTTTGGTTGACTTGTTTTAAACCAGCTTCAGTCTTACAAATTGTTTTAGATGATTAGGCCTTTCACGTCTGCTCTTCCTAAATATTGTGTCTCCTTTTCCCCCAACTTTTTACTTTGACAATTTTAGCCCTACAAAAATACTCTAAGAGAACAGTACAATGAACACATACACTCTTTACCTAACTTCCCCAGTACTACCTTCAGTTATTTCAGTAAGAACAACCTGGAAGAGACAAAAGTGCAGAAAAAAGAAACTGAACAAGATCTTACAATACAGCCAGGATTACTATATATCCCAGGGCCAATGCGCCGCAGTTTCATCCAACCTTTTTTTTTTTTTTTTAGTTTCATCCAACCTTTACAAACACGGATAGACAGTGTGTAACTTAACTTCAAGGTTTTCCTTTCACAGGTATGGTGGCATTATTAATTAATTTTTCAGAATTCTAATTTACAGGTAAGTTATATATTTCGAAGAACTTTATTACCATTCAAACTTATCTATACTGTAAAAAAAGGATAAACCTTTGTGTTTTGATTAATCAAAATGCTGGACTCTTAAGAGTGACTTCAAGCAGTTTCATTTTAAAGAAGTGTTTAGAATTTACTGACCGCCATTCTTTGCTTTTCTCCTCCACTGAGTACATCCATCCAGTCCTGAACACTGTCCCAGCCTCCTTCTCGTTCAAGGATATGGCCCAGCTGCACATTGTCTAAATACTCTTTCAGTACCTTTCAGGAAACAAAGACAAACTCAAGCTTATTATAGATATTTCCTATCTTGCTTCATTTTTTAAACTAAAATTTCTACAATTCCATTGCCAATACCACTTAAAGAGGTACTCTGCAGAAAAGAATGTGGCATAAAATTAGCCCTGAACATTTCAGCTCCTGTCTATATTAATCTTGGCAAAATATGTCTAGTAGTTTAAAGAGAGCAATGCTTTTGTAATAATCAAAAGATGAGAGCAATAAGAAAACAATAGTATAAAGAGAGTTAAACACCCAAGGAGTCACAGTTAAGCTAAATGGCTATAATCTGATCTCAACTTGGAAAGTTATACTTAATGGTTTGAGAAGACTTTACAGGTTAGGACAAACTACCTGGCATTTAAATAAACAATCTGAAATGGCTTCAGATAAACAATCTGAAATGGAGCATTTTTGGTAGGTCTAAGATATAAACATTCCCTTACTAGGTCAGATATCCCCTTCTTTTTCTGATCTTCTTTTCCATCTGGATATATTACTTGGTCTCGAAGTGTTCCAAGGGTCATATAAGGCCTCTGATAACAACACAGCAAAAGTCATCAGAAGTTTTAAAAAAACCGATCTTCAATCAGAGATTACACTCAACAAGGTCTTACCTGAGGAACATAAAATAACTTTCCTCTCTCAGGTTTAGTTAGACGTCCCCCAAAAAGAGGCCATAACTAAAAACGAAAGGAGGGAAGAATTGTGAAATTCACAATGTGGTAGACAGCAATGCAAAATAAGACTGCAAAATTTGGAAACCAATTTATACATACTTCACCAAGAACACGGAAAAGTGAACTCTTCCCACAGCCATTTGGACCACAGATTAGAACATTGGCCCCAGATCGAACCTGAAAGAAAATTAGTCTATGAACTCATTAAATCAAGAGAATATACATGCAGTGAACATTTCTTAAACCCAAATAGCCCCTTGCTCATTATAAGTTTTCTACTTTTTCTGTAAATATGACATTAGGTAGAACAGTGGAAGAAATTGTGAGGGACCTTTATGTTTATTTTCAATTATTAGTTACTTTTTCTTTTTCACTTAAAATTCAGTACTGAGGCTGGGCATGGTGGCACATGCCTATAATCCTAGCACTTAGAAGGCTGAGGCAGGAGGATTGCTGTGAATTCAAAGCCAGACTGGACTACAAAGTGAGTTCAAGGGCATCCTGAACAGCATAGTGAGATCTTGTCTAAAAAATAAATAAATAAAAATGTAATAAATAAATAAATAAAAATCAGGATTGATTGGTATCATTCAACTTAATCTGACTGAGAACACAAAGAGCTAAAGCTTTAAAAAGCCTTTAAGAAGTCTTAAAAATAATAAATATGTGAGGAATCACAGTCTTCTGTTAAAAGTCTAAAATGCATATGGACTATTCTACAACTTGCCTTTGTAACCTCACAATATAGCAAATACTCCTCTAGACCAGTACATTTAGATTATGAATGAACCATAACTCTTACTAGGGAATATTAATTATATAAAATAATGGTTTTATTGTGGCATTTTCATACCTGCATGTAACGTAGTTTGATTGAATTTAACACTGCCTTCCCCTCCTCTCCATGAAGTCCTTCCTATTTTCCAATGAAGTCTCTACTATAATTTCTTAAATATCCCTCTTTGGTTAAAAATTGTAGTCATCTGCATTTTGTTTTGCTCTTTTATATGAAACTGCAGTGAACCTATATCAGCAAGAAAACTTCCACAATAGTGAAAAATGATTTCTATGGATTCTTAAATGAGAAAAGCTGGACCAAAGTATATGTGCATTACAAATATATACAGGTGCCACTAAGTTGTTCTGCAAAACCATAAAGTAAATGAGAAAATGTGAGGAGTGTTACATTCTAGGCTTATGGTCTTTTAAGTGTCAAATTACCTCGGGGTGGGGGGTGGAAATCAGAAAATCTAGGTTATACTACTAACTTACAACATTAAATACCAATATAGCACAGCAGGAAAGAAGATATCAAAGAACAATGTGTTGCCCTAGTTGTGCAGATTGTTTTTGACAAAGTTTTTACCTACATGGGTGAGTCATAGATTATTTCATTCAGTAAATATTTAGAGAATGCTGTATCAAGATCTATTGTAGGCAATGGGTACATTTGTGAATAAAAGAGACCAAAAACCCTGCATTTATCTATTTGCATTCTAGTGGCAAGAGGAATAAAATAAAGAATACCTATAATAAATATGTAAATTGGATTATGTTAGAAAATGAGTGCTATAGAGAAAAAATAGGTCAGGGAAGTTAAATTTTTTAAGGTGGTCAGAATAGACCTCATTGGAGATGACAACTGGCCAAAATTTTGAAAGAAATGAAGTAGGAATTTATCCAGAGGAAAACTGTTCCAGCCCCATTTTCACCCACAAAAATCTGGTGGAAAGACACTGATGCAGGAACGTACCTTGTCCTTTTCGAACACCAGAAGGAAGAACACCAGTAAGAACTGGACTCTGAGAGTTAACGGATGGGACAGCAACAGGCAAATACTACAGGGCACTGAAAGCCACTGATATGACTTCCATTTTTACTGTGATGAAGCCAAAAGTCATCAGCATTACTTACAATAGTCAATAAATAAGTGGAAGCAACCCTAGCAGATGAATGAATAAACAAAATGTGTCATGTACACACTGTTACAGTTTTAATCCTGAGTGCCCCCCCTCAATGGTCCATATGTGAGAAGCTTGGTTCCTTGGGTGGCAGTGAAAACTTCAAGGGAGGTGGTAAAAACTTAAAAGGGGAGGCCTAGTGCACGGTCTTCAGGTCACTGCAAGATGCCTAAGGTCTTTGGTAGTGGGACCCTGGCCCTTTGTTTCCCAACAGTGGATAATGGTGCCACTCCTACTATGTCCAAGACTGGAACTACCAAAACTACAAGCCAAATTAATCTTTTCTCTTTGTAAGTTGATTTTGTCAGGTACTTTTATAGAAACAGAAAGCTGATCAACACACATACAGTGGAATAATATTTGATTTTAAAAAGGAATGGCTGGGCACCTGTAATCTTAGCACTTGGGAGGTTGAGGCAGGAAGATCATTGTGAGTTGGAGACCAGCCTGGGCTACAAGATGCGCTCAAGGCCAGCCTGAACTGCATAGTGAGACCCTGTCTCAAAAAAAACACCAAAAAAACACCAAAAAAAAAAGAAATGAAATTTCTGGCACATGACATAATATGAATAAATCTTGAAAATATTATGCCAAGCGAAATAGGCCAGATATAAAGGCACAAATACTGCATGATTTCACTGAATGAGGTACCTAGAAGACTCAAATTCACAGAGACAGAAAATAGACTATGTTACTAAGGGCTGAGAAGACAGGGGTAGGAGTACTACTGTTTAATGAGAGTTTTTATTTGGGAGGTTGAAAATGTTCCAGAAATCAACAGTGATGATGCTTGTGTAGTGATGTACATATACAAATGCCAATGAATTGTATATTTTTAAATGATAAAATTTATGCTATATTTTGCCCCAATTCTTTAAAATTAAAAAAAATGAGTCTCCAAAGAAAGACTGAGACACTGCAGCCTCCTACTACTATGTAGTCGATCTAGAATAAAACAGCACAATTAACTTGCATATATAGAATGCGCTATTCTAAATGACTTTTCCAAATGAATGAATTATCTTTCTTTTGATAAACTAAACAATCATCTTGAGGGGCTTCTTTCTAAACAATTAAACATTTCCTTATCCTGAAACACTGTATATACTGAACATACCTGATAATGAAAGGGTATCTAAAATAATTAATAGTGATACACCTAGAAGCTCCTAAGGTTCAGAAAACTGTTAATTAGGGGGCTGGGGATTTAGCTCAGCGGCAAAAGCGCCTGCCTGGCAAGCGCAAGGTCGTGAGTTCGGTTCCCGGTACCGGAGAAAAACCAAAAAAAAAAAAAAAGAAAACTGTTAATTAAATGATTCCCTACTGTGCTTTACTTAAATACTATTGTGTATGTGTTTGTTAGTCATATATTTGCCTCCAATTATTCACTGTGGTTTATATTAACATCAATAATCCTGCCTCTAACAAGACCTTTTCACGTTAGTTGTTGTAAGGTGTCAGGAACCCCCCCAAAACATGCCATAGTGTGTATAAGTAACTAAACTTACTGAAATTCTTTTTTAATTTTCTTGGTGCTGAGGACTGAACCCAGGGCCTCCCGCTTATGAGACAAGCATTCTACCACTGAGCTAAATCTCCAGCCCCAACTGAAATCCTTAGGTCCCCTCTTAACCTCAAATATCTCAAGCTCCATCATTAACTTTACTCCAAGGCTTTTGGCAGCATTGGACAAAATGTTCCAATTATGACATTAGTCACAGTAGTACAATGAAAATATTCCCATATTACAGATTTATAAACATATCTTCAGGGATCTACATTAAGATTAAAACTCAAAGATAAGTTTTACTGAAAATTTAGGCCCTAATGACACATTATTGGGGCACTTAAAATGTTTTACTGGTCAATGAATCCTTTAAATGACCAAATTTTTGCCAATAAAAATCTTTCCCCTAAATAATACTCCTTAAAAAATCCTATTTCCTATGAATTTACAATAAATTATCAAAAAATTCTAAAATCACATTTTACATAAATGTAATTTATGTAAAATAAAGATTATACAAAAGTTTTTCATAAAGACTCCCTGGGTTCTTTAAACATTACTATAAATATTTCTTAATGAAAAGGTAAGAACTTGAATAAGTTATTAATCCCCATTCTATGACTTACAAGTTGTTATTTCTAAAGACCTCACAGAAGAATATGTAGGTAGATAAATACACCTGTGCAGGGAGTTTATGAAAGTAAAATATATGAAATATCTTATCCAAAAGAAGTTGTTGTTATTTTGCTGTGCCTGGTTCCAACCCAAGACCTCACAAATGCTAGGTAAGTGTTCTATTATTGAGAGACATCCCAGCACTCCGAAAAAGTTTAGTTACATTATTTGGTTACAATATAATCCAAAAGACAAATGAATCATAAAGTAGTAAACATTTACTTTTTTGATGACCAAGTCTGTTATATTAGAACTCTCTTTCCAAGAGAAAGGAACCTTACTTTCAAATGAAGCAGATGGATAGAAAACTGGAGGTTATGAAGAACCAAAGGATATTTGTCAAATAAAGAAAGGCAATATTAAGAAAAATAGAAAGACAGAACAAAGGAGAGCCAAGTCAGAAAAAGATAAGGAACTCAAACAGTACACCAAAAGGTCAGAAGTCAGAGACACAGTTCTCAATGGAAGAGAAAACAAAACAAGAATCATAGGCCAGACAGCAGGTGGTAAGAGACATGGTTATGAAACAAAAAACTTGAACAAGTAGGGGCCTAATGAGGGCCTTTACAAGACTTTTCAAATGAAACCAAAATAAAAGCAAAAAAGTAAGGCCTTTTCAACACTAAAAAAGTGAAGTCATTGGGGATAGTCAGAATATATTACATCTAAACATAAACAGTTTTAAAAGAAAGAGCTCTGGACAGGAAAAAAAAAAGGACACAAGTGAATAGTCCCCCAACTGCCTTCCTCCACAGGAGGCAATTGCATGACTAGTCAAAACCAGTGATGCCAGAGAAGAGGGAGCTGTGTGGAAGAACTGATTACTGCTGTTAACATCTGAGCTCAGGTTTTTATCTATGATTATTTTGGCAGCTGTAGTTACTATACCCTTGTTACAGTAGTTTGTTGAATTTGGGCTATTCTAGTTAATTCTTATTTCTTTTCCTTTCAGTTCTATTTTGATTTTTCTTATTCTTCTGCTAAATCCCCAGTCCCTCTTTTGTTTTGTTTTCTTTATCAGTATTGGATGATTA